ATATGTACATATCCTTACTAGACACGAATAAAGGCGCGCTAGTGTTTTGACGGCGTAAAAAAAAATCTGACGAAAGAAGACGCCTAAGAAAAACTTAGGCGATGAAAGACACGTAAACATAGACTTATACCTGGCCAAGGACTGTCACTTCAGCATCATTCCCCAAAAACTCTTTGGGAATGTACCTACTGTTCAGGGTTCGGAAATTCTCATTTATGATTATTCGTTTTCATTCTTTTATGAGATTTATCGCGATCGATAATATTCCAACTCTATTTTTGTATTCTTTTATCGCGAGTGAAAAATGCAAACAAATTTATCATCTTTCACAATCGGAATGCGATCGACAAAAAAAATTTCGCTGCTTTTCATTCGCGATCGAAAAAAGTAAAGAAATTTCCTCTCACTCGAATATGAGAAGTCCGAGCATTGCCGATGTCGCCTCTCATAAATGAGAAAAACGATGCAAGTAATCCATTCGCGATCACTCACAACAGCTTATCGCGAAAAATTTTCAACGACGTTTCATGGGAGATATTTTTCGCGTTTGGGTATGTATTTTGGTATGTATTTTGTTATGCATAGAGCATACATATGTACATATGTATACACGTATATGTAAGTAATGCCAGCAAATGCTTTTCGGTTGGAAGGAATGTAGGAATATGCACAAATATATGAATTATGGGGGTAATATATATGTATATACATATAAATTACATACATGCATATGTGTAGTTAAGGTATACTCCAAGTGTACACTTTTCAGTACAATGGTGTATCTGCATGTTATTTTATTATAATGTTTGCGTTTATTTATTATATCTAATAAATTAAACTAAGGGCCGGTTGTTCAATGTCTGGTTATCACTACCACTACACTATCGACGATTTCGACATCACGCATGTAACATGTGATCGATAATGCAGTAGTTGTGCTTAACCGGAGCTTCTACCTCCGATTTGCGCTAATCAGACATTGAACAACCGGCCCTTAGTGGGGATAAGATTGACTAATGAGAAAGGTGGGAGTCAGGTGAAGACTGAGAGTAAAGAAAAGCTGAAAAAATACATATACATTTTTTATTTATTTTAAATGTTTTGATTCGCCATTATAAGGATATTAATAAGAAACCAAAAATATGAACATGTAAATAGAATAAGAATATGTATGGATGTATGTATTACTAGAAGAAAACTCAATAAAACGAAGGTCTGCATTTCATATCCATGCACTCATATATATGTATGTAGATATGTGTGGATCTATGTATATGAATGTACTTATATAAGTGCATAGTTACCCAGCAAAAAAATCGGTAATCGCTTTTAGTGGTAACGTCTTCTAGAAGGCATAGCGTTATAATGCCTTCGAATTCTTCCGCTTCTTTTAGGCATTGCCGGTAATGCTAAGTAGAATGTCCAACAATATTTTATTTATTTCGCTTCTTTGTTTGATTTCGGGGAATGCAAAGTAGAATGTCCTATAATATTTCTTTCTAATTCGTTTCTTTGCTTCATTTCCGGAAATGCAAAGTAGAATGTCCTACAATATTTTATTTGTCTCGCTTCTTTGCTTCATTTCAGGGAATGCAAAGTAGAATGTCCTACAATATTTTTTTTATTTCGCTTCTTTGCTTCATTTCGGAGAATGCAAAGTAGAATGCTGCATCGTAGTCAGCTGAAAAATAGAATGAATACCCAAAAATTCTTTTTCTACCGTTACTTTCTGTGGAAATTTGTCTCGCATAAAAATCATGTTTTGCTTTGTTCAATTTGCCGCGAAGTTGAAGTCAGTCAATGAAGTGAAGTACAAGAGTGAGGAAGTATAATTTTAAGCTTAGTTAAATATGCATGTATGTACATACCGATTTTTAAGAAAATCTAAATACCTAAAAAAATACATATGTATGTATAAAAGCTGATTTATAAAAATTTTAATTAA